TCTCTATATATATATATATATATATATTACACGTTTAAAGGAAAGTAGTTCATCAATAACTTGTAATAAGAGCGATCTTGTCTTTTCTTCAACAATTTTATTCAAATTTGTCCGTATTAATTAGTAATGTTTCTTGGATCATGATATTCTTGCCAGGAGACTAATTTTTATCTCCTACCTCAACCTTGTTCTCTTATCTAATCATAATTACAAGGGCGCATACCTAAATTGAAGTAGAAATGTTCATATAAACACTTGTCGTGAAGGATCTGGTATTCAAGATACAGGGCGTCATAGTTTAAAAAACCTACGTTTTGACAGAAGAAAAATGCTAGCAGACTGTCGCGGAAATTTAAAAATATGTTCATAACATCATTCTTGTAGCAATGGTAAAAGTTGACTTGATTTACTGGTAACAGTTTTTCCTCGAAAACGAAGTAAGGTACGAAGAGACGGCAAGACAAAAAAGTAGTATCATTAGCGGCTTTATCAGAAACACAACATATATTTTTCATAGTTAGTAGCGTACGTTCTTTTGACAATATTATTAGTGAGACTGCCTCTAGAGACGATAATGGAATTCATAATTACCGTCTAGTTAGTGCTAACTTAGCATTTGCTTGCAAAACCCAACAACGATCTTTCAGATATTAATGGAAGAAGTTGTTTTAAACTTCGACACCATGTATCTTGATAACCAGACTTATAAGGACACTTGATTATATGACCTTGTCCACTTAAACTTCAGGAATGCGCCCCTGTTATTACGGTCTATCATTAAGTAACATAACACCCTATATATTGTCTCTAATATACACATTATCCCATTAAGATAATGAGTAGATAAAGGTATTAACGCATTAATGCGGCAACAAACACAAATTTTACTTATGTTGAGTTAAAATACCATTTGCTATGTTTATGGTTGTGATAGTTCCAGTGCATTGAAGCTGGGGTGGATAACTAGAAATCTTTTAGAATGTCTCTATTCTAAGCAGGCTGAAGTTGATTTCTACAGTCCGTTCTTCAGAACTGCTTAAGTTATGGATGAAGACAAACGACATAAAATCGATTTCGATGAAACAAGCATACAATTTGTTTTGATCGAAAATTACGAAGTCATTAGTCCAAAAACATTGAAAATAGAAAATATTCATTGGAAGGGCCCACCGGAACTTAAAAATTAAATCTACTCTAATTGAGAATCTAAATAATAATGATAAAAATGCTTTTCTTTTTCCACATACAGTTCGGGTAAATAGTACATTGCAGCAAAATACGTAAATATGTTACAAAAAGGGCTGAACGCATTGATAAATGGTCTAAGTTCAGTCCTGTAGCTATTTCAGATTTATAAAAAGAGATCTACCTTAGAAAGTCCCAAAAATGCGAGTGGTAGTATAAAAAGACAACTTCCCTCAGTTTGATCGCTTCTGCCTCATTTGCATTAGTGCGTAGAGAAGTGCTTTTCAAAAATAAATATTTTATATTATATATATATATATATATATATATAACTTGAGACGTGGTCATTGTCGTCTAGACCAGTTATGTGAAAAATAAAGCTTCCGCCTTTGGGTATTTCGACAAAATTCAAGCAATGAGGACTCTTTATACTTTATTAGTCTCTAGCTTTCAATGGACTTTGCCATCTTCATCAGGAGCTGCAATAACATTGAGAAGAAATAGCAACTATTGTGCAAAGTGATTTGAAATTAACTTACAGTAGTATGTGAGATTGTTATATATATATATATATATATATATATATACACCAATATACCAATCGAAATCAAGCCTCGTAATTTACAAAACTCGTGCGAATGCCTTGCTAACGAAAGGGCACAAGATTAAGCTTTTCCGTCGCAAATGTTATCTGACGTGTAGTTCCTGGAACATGCCTTCGAGCAATTTCCGTGTCGACGTCAATTAAGTAAAAGCTGTTCCCTACGTTAACTCACCTTAGCTCTGCATGAATATGGCGCTGCTCCGCTAAGTGTATAATTATGTAATCGCAATAAGAGCTCCTTGAATATACCCTCCTCGTCAAAATTAGCTCGCTACTCCTTTGACAGTTCCCCCCGAACAATAATTGCATTGAAACTGAGCTTATAAAAATTGGAATACATCAGCGAACCCCCGAGCAGTCGTTAGTGAGAGTAAATAAAACAGTACTATTTGTCTGTTTATCAATCATTTGAATAATAGTTATGATGAACAAAGTAAATTAAAACATAACTATCTAAGCCTTACAAAAAGAAATGATTAATATAATATGAATACAAGTAATCCGATACTTGCAAAAATCCCCAATGGGATATTTGTGCCTGTTTGTTGGAACAAAGAAATTCAAAATATGGTTCAATGTCTGAAAGCTTAAGTCTTTGATCGGTTTCCGCATTTAATTATTGTCGTACTTATCTTTGAGGTAAGTGTATGTAGACAAAGATACGTTGTGCAGAACGGTAACAAAAGTTTCATGACCTTTTCATTTTTTACATTGAGCCAGAAGTCTATTGAAGAATAATCTGCAAAAACAGCTTTTAGAGAATTGTCAGACGATAAATCAATGAGCTTTTCTTTTTCCAATAAACTTCTGTATGGAGAAATAAAGAGACGTGGAGATTTCCCAAGTCCTCACAAAGTTCACGGAATAGACGAGAATTTGTGCATGGGACTTTACAAAATATTAAAAAAAATTAGTCAGTTTTCTACAGTTCCGTGTCAACGCTATATTTTGAGGTTATGTTACAAATATGTACTTGCATCAAATTGTTAATGCGTTTGACTTATATCATCGGTTATATCAGCTTGAAATTTCTTACAATTCAAAAAGAAAACAGCCTCACAATAGGAAAACGCTGACACTGACACGGATCAGTAGAAACTTAGAAATACCCCAGCCTTTCTGAAGGAGAGGAAAGACTATGAAAATCAAGGAGGTCATAAAGGCGTCCTACAATTGTAGGAACGACTGACGATACGACCTTAAAACAGATCTAGAAACAGTTTATTTTTTTTGCTAGAAAGGCATGTTGTAATAGATAAAAACTTTATTCTCTCAGGGTTATAAACAATCGGATATTTCTCATTAGAAAACACATCTTATAGTTTTTTCGAAATGCTGCCAATAAAGTTTTGGTCAAATGAATTAATTAATTCTACCGCATTGTACGTGAAACAGCGTTGAAATATGGCAGAAAATCACAATCCTACTCGTATAAACAATCTTTCGCTTTGATGACAATTGTGACAAACTTGTATTCCACATATCGGATATTTTTAACCTATCCATAGAAGCTGTTGAGTGAGAAACCTGATCGTACCTTCTTACATTGTTTATACATTGCGAGCATGTGTTTTGAATTTTTTGCAGGCTGTATTTTGTTATTTCGTCCAGACAGGGATAATAAACAACGTTGCAGTAAGTTATTTTACTCAGTGTCAGAGACTCACATAACATTTTTCTTGGTGCAAAAGTAAAGCTGTCGATTTGGGTTCGTTAAGTCGTTGTGGCGTATGTACATGTACATTTTAAATCTAGATTAATAAGGGTGTTAGCCAAGTGATTTTTTTTATATATTGAAGCAGCCGCGCAGGCAGAAGCCTAAATGCCGGAACACCGCGGCTGCTATGATCATCCCAAAGAAATTTTGTTAATACGATTTTTGAACTGCCTAAGGTTAGCAGAACTGGGAAAAGCTTCCTCTTGGTAGATTTTCCACAATCTCGACACCCTCGGGACAAAGGAGCGGTCGTATCGACCAGTTCTGGATGTACGAAGTTCGACACGGTTAGGATGGTTGTCCGGAGAGAAGCTATAGAAAACCTGAATATCATCAGCATAAAATTGACCTGAATAACGTTGAAGAGTGTTAGCGATATCAAAAGAGTATATGAGGGATAGGAGAGGCCCGCTTATGGATCCCTGAGGCACGCCGAGACAATAAGGACTTTTTTCTGAATGTTTATCTTGTATCACGACCTATTTAGATCAGAGTTTCCCAAACTTTTTTGTGTCGTAGACCCCTTGCCATATTTTTCCGTGTTGGGTAGACCCCCCACTTACCTGATATTGATTTCCTGTAAATTTCTAACTGTAGTGAAGTTTAGTGTTAGAAACTTAAAGTAAAAACACATGTTAATTTATACATTTGTTAATTGAATTTAAATTAAAACTACTCAAAATAAAATTTTGTATCTGTTATGTAAAATATACGTAAAATTAAATAAACAGGTGTCTGACGAATAGTACCCGCATTGAAAAAAAGATAAGACGGATAAAAAAAAAAAAGTGAAAAATAATAAAAAAAGATTTTTACTTAAAATAGTACATTAAGCGAGTGTGTTTATTAGTTATAACATAAACGTATGTTCTACAATAATTTCACTGTTAGTTTGATTAAATTCCGCTTCTTATACGTTTAAGTTATCTAAAAATAGGCAAAAAATTTACGAATTTTAGTGTGTACCTATCCTTGAATTTTCAGAATAATTTAAAAAAAAAATATTTTCTATAAAGGGGGGTTCTTTAAAAAAATCGATGCGGGCACTTACTCCCAATGCGGGCATTTATTGGTCAGACACCAATAAACATAAAATAAACTATAAATAAAATAACATAAGCAATAAGTCACTATTTTTAGTGAGAAGGATGAACCTGATGCTTTAATAATAAATTATCAACATTTGGCGTCTTAAATCTCCTCGGCTAATGATGTCCAGTCTGTTTCTTTTTTTTCGTTAGGAGATTGGTAACAGCGCTGAACCCCCTTTCCACTAGGTATGACGATGGAAAGGAAATTAAAAATTTCCTCGCTATATTCCATAATACGGGATAAGTAACGGGTATGTTGTTTTGCAGCCAGAATTGCTGATATCCGTTTTTAAACTGAACCTTAAGTTCTTCGTTTGTACTTCAGTTCCTCTTGTATTATGACATCCGTTTCTTCTATGTTACCATATGGATTAATTATCCACGGTGGTATTACCATAGTCTAAATATTCTCAAACCTAGATTCAAAATCTGAATAGAGAGCATTTAAATGTTGAACGTAAGTTGAAACGTCGTCTTCCTGACAGCTTGTCTGTGACAAATTGGGGAACTGAGAAAATTCGCCGCGTCCAATATTTTGCTTCATTAGTTCAACTCTGGCAAGAAACGCTGATAAGATAGACTTTTTTTTAATCAAATTTAAACTGTCGCCTTGTAATTGCAAAAGTGCAAAAAATCTTGTCAAACATAAGCCTTTCGACAGCCGGCGTGTTTCAGTGTGAAGGAGTAATTGATGAAAGTGTACGTCATTTTCTTCACATAACTGCGCAAATAACCGCGTATTCAACGCGTTGCTTCGGATTCGGTTTACTGCATCAATGACTAAATGAAGTGATTCATGCAATTTAACACTCAAATTCTTAGCAACTAAATGTTGTCGATGGCTGACGCAATGTATTGCTAACACCCCTGATACATTTTGTTTTAAATAGCTTATAAATCCACGATAACGTCCAACCATGGCAGGTGCTCCATCTGTAGCTACTGATATTATATTTGATAAAGGAATTGCTTTTTCAATGAAGTAATCCTTCAAAACATGAAATATTGATTCACCTTTAGTGTCGGTTATATAAGTTCTTGCGAAGAGCAGTTCTTCGTAGATTTCTTGATTCATAATAAAACGAACATATGCCAATAATAATGCTGCATTATCAGGTAAAGTTGACTCGTCCAGTTGTATAGAGAAATGGGTCGTTTGCAAATAATTACATAAGAAGCTTTCAATATCAGAACTCATTTCATCAATACGTCTTTCAACAGTATTGTTGCTTAAGGGAATTCTTTTAATGATATCAGATGCAGGTTTGTGTAAAACAGTTTTTAAAACCTCTTCAACGGCTAGCAAAATTAACTTCTCTCCGATAGTATGCGGTTTTCCGGATTTTGCTATAAGTAACGAGATATTGTAAGACGCCCGCAAACCATCATCATTTTTTTGTGACGTCGAAGCGAACATTCTGTCCAGTGTAGGTCTCTTCTGAAATTTATCTTTGAGTGTTTGAAAGTATTTCAAATCTTTCTCTGTTTTATCAGGGTGGCATCTTCTCAGATGATTTTGCAGTTTAGATGGTTTCATAGCGTCATTGCCCAAAACTTTGTTGCATAAAAGGCACATAGGCGATTGTTTGTCCTGCAATGATGGAATGAAACCAAATTTCAAATAATCAACACTGTCCATGTCTACATTTCTTTTTAGAATCGGACATCGCATCAGTCATCTGTGGGCAAAATTAAATTATTTAAATAAGACAGAAAATCCAGCAGCTGTATATTAAAAATATTTTTTTATTTTTCCGAAAACATTCCATAATTCGAACATCTTCTTGCAACAATTAGCTCGAGTTACGGAGATTGCACTGTAATTATATTACCGATTGCTAAAACTTTTAAAAAGAAACTATTGAGGAGTACTCGTGTAATTTTGCATGATTGAATATTTAACTACTAATAACTAAAGTCATGATTGGCGTAATTTATCTATCTTTGCTAACTACGAGTACAAAACTAAAATTTAATAAAAAATAATGTACTTACTTTTCTCCAGCACTCTCAAACAAAATAACACTGACTCACTATAATTTGTGTGATATACTATCTGTTTATATTTTTTAAAATATTTTCTTAGCACTTTCCTTTTCAAGATTCAGGAAACGAATTTGTCCCACATTCGTATTTATAGAGTGAAGAATTGAACAAGTCAGTGCAAGGTAGCGAAGCTCTGAGACTGCGACTCTCAGGTTTTTACAAGTTCAAAATGTATTGCGACCACAAAGCGAATACCAACATCCTACAACTTACACAATTTTATAAACATATATAATAAATTTTTTACTTCATAGGTACTTTTATAAATAATGTATATGTTTTGATATTATAAGATAGTATGATGTAAGTAAATAGGTACTATCAGTGTATGTGTTGAGATCCACTATCGTGGATCCCCATATTCATTTCATGGACCCCCAAATTTTTTTTCGCTGACGTAGACCCCTAGGGGTCGATATAGACCACTTTGGGAATCAATGGTCTAGTAAGACTAATGGTTATCCACTCATCGCTTTTGCAGATTTGATTTCATGATTTTTGTATTAAGTACTTACAGTTAATTATAATAGGGTTAATTTATTTCATCCTAGTATCCACATTTCATACATTCAATCAGGAAACATAAAGTCCGATCATTTGACCGGTTATGTCAGAAAGGATGTATCTAGTGTTGGTATGTTTCGTGATAACTGAACTATAAACAAGCTACGTTTCTGCGAACAATCCGCCTAGATGTGGATAATAAAAAGGATGTAAGAACTTGGAGAGCAGCAGAATCCGATAAATTCTCGTATAGAGCTAATGCGAAAAAATGTGTCCGCCGAAAAGACCAGCAAGCACAAGGGGGTCTTATCGGACCCGTGCTGCGAAACTTCAGCTATATTTTCCTGTAATATCTCTACCAGTTTTAGTGCCACCGACCGTCGGTCGATTCCTGGAATGACTGGAAGGAACATATCTCTCGGATTTAGTGAAAATCAATGTTTGCGCCTCGTTTGAGTTCCCGTACTGGAGCGGTTCAGTGCACACACCGAACAAAAACGGTCATCGAGAAAAATATATAATTGTCTTTATTTTAACCATTTTTGTGGGATTGAGAACGTGGGAAACGGTATTGTTTTCCAGAAGATGAGTGAAATACAGGGTGCTTTTTAGAATTTTTGAGGTTTTTCGTTCATATTGGGCCTGTTTGAACATCCAGTAGGTGAGAAAGAGAAAACACGATTTTTCTTCGTGGCGCGTTCATTTCGGCTTCGAAAGAAGTAACGGGTGATTTTTCAAGAGGTATAGGATATGATTTTCAAAAAAAAAAACACAAACAATTTGAAAAAACGATTAAAGTTTTATTTGAGTCGATAGAACGGTCGATATATTTTAATGTTTAAAAATTATTTCATGTATATGTTGGCCCCGGCTCCGCTTTAGATGGCCCATGCGCAAGGTCCAATTTTGGCACGCTCTCTCCAACATATAGGCCGGTATCTCACGAATAAATGCTTCAATATTGGCTTCCAGTGCGTCAATCGTTGCTGGTTTATCCCTGTAGACATTAGCCTTAACATGGCCTCACAAGAAATAGTCCAACGGCGTTAAATCACACGATCTAGGCGGCCAATTGACGGGCCCCAAACGTGAGATATACTGTTCACCGAACTCGCCTCTCAATAGGGCCATTGTTTCGTGTGCGGTGTGGCATGTGGCACCGTCTTGTTGAAACCACATGTCAGCCAAGTCCAGCTCTTCCATTTTGGGCCAAAAAAGTTTGTTATCATCGCACGGTAGCGCTCGCCATTCACAGTTACGTTCCGGCCATTGTCGTCTTTCAAGAAGTACGGCCCGATGATGCCACCGGCCCATAATCCACACCAAACAGTGATTTTTTCGGGATGCATTGGTAGCTCTTGCAATGCTTTTGGCTGGTCTTCACTCCAGATGCGGCAATTTTGCTTGTTCACGTAGCCATTCAACCAGAAATGAGCTTCGTCGCTGAACACAATTTTTCCATAAAAATGTGGATCTTCCTCCAACTTTGCCAGCGCCCATTCACCAAATTGCAAACGTTGTGGGAAGTCGTGTGGCTTCAATTCTTGCATCAGCTGTATCTTATAAGGTTTTACACCCAAATCCTGTCGCTAAATTTTCCACGTAGTGGAGTAACAGAGGCCGAATTGCTGCAAACGGCGGGAATCGACATTTCACGGTCATCACTAACACTGGCGGATACAGCCGCAATATTGTCTTCAGTCCTCACTCTAAGTCTGCGTGTTGGTGGTCTAATGTCCAATAATGTAAACTGGGTTCGAACTTTAATCACAAGCTTCCGAATAGCTCCCTCAGTAGGCCGACCAAATTGCCCATAAATTGGAAGCAGTGCTCGATGCACTCTCTTAACCGAGCATGAATTTTGATAGTAAAATTCAATAATTTGCAAGCGTTGTTCGTTCATAAGTCGATTCATGGTTAAATTATAGACCAAACTGAACAAGTTTGACAATGACACAAGACACGATTCACGCATCATCTGTCAAGAACAATGTTGCCAAAAAGATACTAGCAAAAAAATCACCCATTATTTGAAATTATTGGGATTTTTCTCGAAGATTTTTTCCAATTGAAAAATATTATATTGAATTATGAAGCATAGCGTTCTAAATAGGAAATTTGAAATTCTAAGACAAAGCTTAGGGTGCTAAACCGGAAGTAAACATTTCAAAACAAAATTTGGGCAAGCTCGCATGTTTTTATTTTCGATTTTTGTAATCTAAAATATAGACTTAACTGTGTTTAAAATACATCGGAAGTTTTTAAATGTTAGAGTTACATATTTTTATCTACATACATGTTGCCCAGGGTATGACGTTAGGCGCTTGTTTAGGTTTGAGAGATTTTGCATTAATACGCTACACTATGATTATTTTTTAGCTCTATCATTTCAAAGATATTTTATCATGAAATTATAGTTCATTTATATATGTAAATAGGGTGCAAAACCGGAAGTAAACACGTCAAGCCATAATTTGGGTAACTTCTACCATTTTCATTCTGATTTCTTTCTCCCTAAAATATAATCTAAAGTGGAAAATGTATATATTTCCTATATAAAACGCTTTGTTTCATATCCCAATATTTTCATTTTAATTTTTTAATTCGAAAAAATATCGTAATTTCAAATACAGTAGAAATAGGTTTGTTTGCTTGTACCGCTGGATTTCTCTAATAGTGTGTTGTGCATCTCTCATTTGTAAATGCAAAAAAGAATTCCAGGGTACATGACGTTTAATGAAAACACTTGTACCTCGCCACAGGACATAGTCGATGCTTTTTTCAACTTTGCTTATAAATTCTGATTCTTCTAATTCTGAGTTCATGACTTCAAATCTAACTAGTATGAACATATCTCTGAACAGTATAAGTGAAGCGGATATAATTCATGCTTCCAGAAAGTTAAAGAATAAAATGACTTCAGGCTATGATGGTGTGCCTAGTTTTTTGATAAAGGATTGTATTCATGTATTGACAAAACCGCTTTGCATGATCTACAGTATGATATTGTTAGTAACATACTCTTACCCCCGTATCTGGAAAATGACCAAGGTACGAGTATGTCCTGTCTTTAAAAGTGGCGATAGAAGTAATATTTGTAACTATAGGCAGATTGCGACACTTTGCAATTTTTGTAAGATTTTGGGGCTCAATCAAATTAGATTACGAAAGATTTTAGCTTATTCTTCCATTAATCATATTGCTTTTTTTGTGGTTATTATTTATAATACCATTTTCAACACTGTCAAATGTACTTTTTCTCCTAACCAGCATGGTTTTGTTGCTGGCAGATTAACAGTCCCAAATCCGACCTGCCTGACTCAAACTATCCATGACCAGGGTCAGTTGGATGTCATTTATACCGACATGCCTTTGATCAGATAGATCATTACTTGCTTCTTGCTAAGTTCGAAATGATTGGGTTGTCTAAATCTTTATTAAAGCTCATCAGATCATATTTATTTCATAGAAATCTGCACGTTGAGTTTGGTGGTTTTTAATAGAATTCATATACAGCAACGTCTGGAGTGCCCCAAGGTCCAATTTGGGTCCTTTGTTTTTTGTGTTGTTTATCAATGATCCGTCGCTGGAACTGCCTGGTA